CGTTGGGATACAGCCCACCTGCAGAAGGACTTCCTGCCCTACTCCTCCTATTCCCGAATCCCTCAGTCATGTGGTTTTCAAGTAAATTTTGGTGCTGGTGGGATTCAGGCCCAAGGCTGGGAGTGTTTTCAGTCTTCCCTGTCTCCTTCCCAGCAGCCGAGGCCATGTGGTGTTGGGGACACACCAGGCCTGAGGAGGGGACAGATGCCCAGAGCCACGCTGTGGCCCTGCTCCTGTCCCAGGATTGTTGGGCACCTGCAGGAGGGACGAGCGCAGAGCCCTTCCTGAGCTGCTGTCTTCTGCCTGTGGCGGCACGGCCAGGGCAGAGGCAGCGCACCGCGAAGGGCTGGGTCCATTGCTCAGCTCGGTGACATTCCGCTTTTGTCTCCTCACAGGCCAACCCTGCTCCCATTATCGTGAACACAGACTCGCTGGAACAAGGGCTCTCTGTAAGTCTCCTGGGTTTGTTTTGCTTCCTTTGAACAAGCGGTGCGTTTTCCCTGCTTGGCAGTGCAGGAAAGGCTCCACCAGCCCAAGGAGGCCCTGGTGAGGTAGCAGAGGAGCCTGGTACCTGTGCCACGTCCCTGCGGCACATCCCGCCCCAAACCTCACTGGGGCTGGGTGACACTGAGCAGAGCCAAGGCTAGCAGCGAGTGATGCTAGGGACTCCAGCACAGGCTACAAGGCAGAAGGCACTCAGAGGGGCACCCTGTGGGGTGAGCAGGCATCAGAGAAGCAGAGGGAGCTGGGCTGGCTGCGTTCAGGGTTACCCACACAGCCATTTCCTCAGCCTCCCATGCAGGGTGGCTGCAAGGCCCTGCTGGGGCGTCCCTTACCTTCCTGCACTGCCTCAGCCCCCTTCGGCAGCCCCGTACCCTCAGGAGGGAGGCAGAGCTCTCTGGGTGCTCGTTGGCATCTCACTCACTGATCCTCAGGGCAGCAGGACCCATGGGATGCTGCTCTGCTCCCACTGAAGGCTGCCAGCAGCTGAGCAGTGCTTGGTGACTGTGAGTGTTTGCAGCCACAGTGCATTTGGCACTCTTGGCATATTTTAAAGATTTTTGGTTTGTTGCAGAGAGGGTTTGAGCACTGCTGCATCCCTTCCCAGAACATCTGCAAATCATTCC